TCACTCCCTCCTTGACTCAGTTTCCACACGATCTGCGTCAGACAAGAAATACAGAAAACAAACCAACAACAAAGCAAAACTTTTCCAACTTTTTACAGACTTCCAGCAAAATACCATCCTCTCTCACAGAGCGTTGCCACTGATGTCACGGTGCATCCCACAGCCCAGCCTTCCTCATCAGCCCTCTCAGGGGTCGTATCGAACCCACTTCCTGCCCTTTCTGCTTCTTATCCATCTTCTTCTTTACCCCAGACATACATCCCTCCATCACAGCATCCTTTCTTCTCCTCTCATTACTAACTCTCCCGTCCCATCTTCTTTGGCTACCTCCTCTAATAATTACTGCACCTGTAAACTATTTATTATTTATTACATTGTTGAAATTCAGTTTATTTTATAAAAACATAAATACTGTGACTCATCTACCTTTTCTGTGCATACTGTATATACTGTCATATCCACCTCTACCTCATGTAAATAAAGAAACCTGCACATAAATATTTATTTCAGCATCCTTTGCACTATTATCTACTAATGTTATTGTTTTTGTTTATATTATAACTGTACATAGTAGTTTATATAGCTTGTTGTTTATTTATGTTCATTCTGTCTTTGTACATTGAGAGCAACATAAAAATCAGAGTTTTGTATGTGAGCAGAAACCTGGACCATAAAGTGATTCTGATTTACTCCATAAACTCATTTAGCTGAAAGTAAATCAATCACTTTTGATTAAAAATATCAATATCAGTGATTCCAGCTCATTATTATTAATATCTAATGTTGGTGTATTACCCACCTGTGGCCCTTTCTACTCATTTTACTGATTTCTTCCTTTATTAACTGAATGAATCTGTTAATAGATGCTGTTGGATGACAGACGCTCTGTATAGCTGATCTGTGGATGTAAAACAATACGGATGGCACAAGTTTCTCTGGGTGTTTACAGTCTGGTGCTTCTTCCTATAAATATTTATTCTAACATTGTCCAAAGATTATTAATCTGCAGCATTTATTAGAAATGATCAGGTCACTGACTGTAAACTTCTTTTCCACATTTACATTTATTTGACATTAAATGATTGTTTGAGACACAAATGAGTAAAATGATCTAATATTTTAACAGTTTAACAAGTTACGACTCTGATAAAAGATTTTTATTTCTATATACATTCATCACAGTTGTGTTTTTATTATCAGTTAACTTTTTATTTCAATCATCACCATAATTACAGACCTGTAGGGCGGAGCTTCGTGACGACAACCACACTGTAGCCAATCGTGTGCGAGCAACAGCGCAGTGACATTAGCATCAGGCTCATCGCTATAAAGCGCTCCGACAGTCGGAAATTCACCGAGGTCGAAAAACCGAAACAGAGCAACAATGCCCGAAACCGTGAAAGCGCCCAAGAAAGGCTCAAAGAAAGCCGTGTCTAAGATCACCAAGAGCGGCAAGAAGAAGAGGAGAACCAGGAAGGAGAGCTACGCCATCTACGTGTACAAGGTGCTGAAGCAGGTCCACCCTGATACCGGCATTTCCTCCAAGGCTATGGGCATCATGAACTCCTTTGTGAGCGACATCTTTGAGCGCATCGCCGCCTCCCGTCTGGCTCACTACAACAAGCGCTCCACCATCACCTCCAGGGAGGATCCAGACCGCCGTCCGCCTGCTGCTGCCCGGTGAGCTGGCCAAGCACGCTGTGTCTGAGGGAACAAAGGCTGTGACCAAGTACACCAGCTCCAAGTAAACCTGCTGTTCAACCAACAACACAAAGGTCCTTTTCAGGGCCACACACCGCTTCTACTCAGAGCCAATGTCCGATTTTATACTTTAGTATCTAGTGGTTTTGTTTATGAATCTACTATAATAAAAGGAAATTTTCAATTTTGGAGAACTGGATATGAGAATAACTACATTGTGTATTTGTTACTGTCCTGGGACTTTACTTGGATGAAGCTTTCTTCAATAATGGGGATAACTGCATATGTCATACCACTATAGCACCAATAAATCCGTAGCAAGACAAATCCAGTTACTCAATAAAATGCATGAATTATAAAAAGTTTAAGTCTTTAATAAGAATTTTATACAGATCTGAAGTATTTAACAGGGAGATACAAATTATTGGTAAAGATAAATATTAAATACAAACTAACTTCAGAATATATTAATATGCTGCAATAATTAGAGATGGGATTAATTTTAGAAGGGAGCTGGATCTTTTTTTTATTTTTTAAGAAGCTACCAGACTTGAAGGAAATATTATTTGGGCTCATTGTAGCTGCAGTACTGACATGAAGGCAGCCTGCCACTGTGTCGGACAACTCAGATGACTTCATGTGAAATATGCATATCAAATTAGCTGCACTCCTCCCCTTGTTGTGCATGCTCTTGTCTCAGTGGAGTAGAAAGGAGGAGTTGTGTGCATGCTGTGTGCCTGACAGCCATTTAAATAAATAAAAAGAACGACTCTTAACTGCGATTGTTCATGTTAAAGAGCCGTTCAATAGATTCGGTTTGTTCGTGAACGTCACAACTCTAGCAATAATGATGTCTAAATGTAATTGTATAGCAAAAAGTAATTTGAGTGTATTGTAAGATAATTACAAGCCATTTATTTTTAATTAAATGTGACATTTTCAGAAACATCAGGAGAGTTCACTGTTAAAGATGTTTCTTTATTCAACCCTGTAGAGGAATGTAGTGCAAAGAGTACAGAAAGAGAATATATTATTATTATTATTATTATTATTATTATATGTACACACAATGAGGTAACCGGTCTTGTCAGCAGGGCTGTCTGAGTGAGGTAGTTTGTCTGATAATTATAATGATTTATCATAATTTCCATTCAGTCACATGAGGCTGATAGTTCCTGAGTTTTATAAGAGTAACATAATTAAAAATGTAACATTTAGCCTTATAAATATTTTCACAATCATATTCTGAGTTATTAAATAATGAATTTACAATCACAATACAAATAAATACAGATGAACAGATAATATAAACACATTCTGCCAATATAAATTATTCCTTTATGTGGAGCAGTCCGAGGTTACAGGTGATTTATTCTATGTTGTATTAGACTATAATAGAGTATAATGATTAGAGATGATCATAGCACATCTTGTTTTCCACAGTTTAAAACAAACAATGCTCATTATGAGTTATAGTTGTAGTTATAGTTATAGTAATAGTTCAATGTGGTCAGATG